GAATTATATTGGTGCACGTTAAGTGTTTTTATTTATTTATTTGTCAATTTATATATCTGTTTTTATTTTTAATTATGTCAGTTTCGGTCCTCCGTACTGCAGAAGCCTGATAATCACCTGTCCGTTCAAACCAGGTGTGTTTGAGCAGAGAAAAATAAAACATGCAGGGCTGCAGCCCTCCAGGACCAGGACTGCCCACACCTGGTCTACATGGTTCCACTGATTTGTGTTTTATTTAATAAAGTTTTTTATTTGAATCTTAAATTGGGACGAAAGAAGAAGTTAGAAACTCATYGCTGCTTGTTTCCAGCTGGACCAGCTGTGTCCTGATGGACAGGCGGACCCTCACCTCGTCCACGTTCTCGAAGGCGTTGATGATGTCATAAGGCAGGCAGGACAGCAGGTCAATGACGAACCAGGTCTTCAGGTAGTTCATGCGGATCAGTTTGGGGTCAGAGATCACCTCTCCACCAGGCCCCACGAAGGTGGTGTGGAAATTGAGGACGATGTCCACCAGGAAGATGACGTCCACCACGCTGTCCAGCACCAGCCACACGATGTTGTTCTGCTTGGTCTTGAAGGACACGTTGTAGGGAACCATGATGGCCGTGTAGAAGGTCAGGATGAGGATGACCCAGTCCCAGGTGGTCTTGAAGGTGCAGTAGTGCAGGATGATGTGAGGCGGGGTTTTAGGTGCTTCCTGTTTGTACTGTGGCAGGATGTCCGAGTTGAGCTGCAGAACCTGAAGACAGCAAGAACACAAACAGTGACTCAGCACATTTCAACTGTTTGGATTCAGGCTCTGYTTCTGGTCCAGACCTCAGCAGTCCAGGGTTAGCTGGACTTCAGCTCCTTCACCACAACAGACCGGAGTAACAGCCTCATGACTGCAGCTCTGGCCTGTGGGTCCATCTTACATCACTGAGGAACAAGACCCCCCTCAGACCAGAACCAGAGGAGCCTTTCCTGGGTCAGAACCATGAGCTCAGACTGGCTGAAGATCCCAGACCACAGTCCTGTCCAGCATCACCATCATGAAGGTTTCCTGCTTCATTCTGGCTTCTTTCCAAACGTTTCCTCCTCTCCTCTCTGCTCCATCTCTCCTTCCTCTCTGTCCTCCTTCTTCTCCTCTCATTCATTGATTTTCCTCCTTCCATCTCTTTCTGCCCCTTTTAATTTTTAAACCAGGAGGCCACGCCCCTTTTGAAATTTTAAACCAGGAGGCCACGCCCCTTTTTAATTTTTAAACCAGGAGGCCACGCCCCTTTTTATTTTTAAACCAGGAGGCCACGCCCCTTTTCACCTCCAACACTAAACTGTGTTGAAGGGAGGAGTTTCAGACAAACACTGAATAAAAGTCATGCAGGTTCATGATTAAACTGTGCCGAGGTGTGTGTGTGTGTGTGTGTGTGTGTGTGTGTGTGTGTGTGTGTGTGTGTCTCACCTCAGCAAGTCTGGACTGTTTATGGCTGACTTCATGTTTGCCCATGGGCGCCAGCTGCTGCATGGTGTTGCGGTTGTTGGTGAGCGCTCGTGTGAGGCGTGCAAACTTGGTCCATCCTGTAACACACACCATCTTCATCATCATCATCATCATCTTCATCATCATCATCATCATCATCATCATCAATGTAACAAAATATCTACAGGACTGCTGAAGGAACCAAAGCATCTGAAAATCAAACAGATTTCTTCTCTTAAACTGAAGAATTATTTACTTTTTATTTGTAAAAATATTTTTTTACAAATAAACGTTTTGATGAATCGACTGGAGAAAAAAGTTCAAGAGTGAAAATATCAGACCTGAACGTTCAGACCACAAACTGGTCCCTGTCAGACCTGGTCCCTGTCAGACCTGGTCCCTGTCAGACCTGGTCTCATGTCAGACCTGGTCCCTGTCAGACCTGGTCCCTGTCAGACCTGGTCCCTGTCAGACCTGGTCTCTGTCAGACCTGGTCTCATGTCAGACCTGGTCCCTGTCAGACCTGGTCCCTGTCAGACCTGGTCCCTGTTAGACCTGGTCCCTGTCAGACCTGGTCCCTGTTAGACCTGGTCCCTGTCAGACCTGGTCCCTGTCAGACCTGGTCCCTGTTAGACCTGGTCCCTGTCAG